TTGGCCTGCTACACTTGCTATTATTCTACTATGCATTTTTTTCTTGTGGGAAAATGGGAGGGGGGATTGTACTGAGTTAGATGCTACGTAGCCATAGCAAAATTCTTCCTAGAAAGCCAAGGTCATCCTTTGTCTCTGCACCTCTGCACTTGACTGGAACTGGATGGGTGGAAGCGGCAAGCATGGCAGTGGATGATTGGACCATGGGATGGACTTGTGGGTGTGGGGGCAAGATCTTGAACTTTCAACTGGGTGGGGAAAACCGGGAAGCCTTCAGATTCAGGTTTTCCCAGATGTGCCAATACGGCTCTCTGAATAAATTGGAACTTTGAGGAATCCTTTGCCTTGGACTCTGAGTTACTTTTGGATGCCATTTGAAATTTTGACACTCAGATTGACAAAAGGATGCCACTGCAATATTTCCTTAGGTCAGGAGTTGGCAACCTGTGGCTCTGGAGCCACATGTGGCTCTTTCATCCCTCTGCTGCGGCTCCCTGTTGCCAGTCAGCGCCACAATTTTGAGAGGAGCTTCCAGTTTGTGGGGGGGAAGCACGGCACACCAGGAGGAAACTCTATGGCAAGGGGCGGGTTTTCCAGTTGGCTCCACAATTGATAGGCTTTTGGTTAGGACAGGTAGAGGAAAAAGGACACTGTGCTAGGAGGAGACTCTATGGTGGGGGAACTGAACTTCCGGTCAGTAAAAGGAAGCTGTGCTAGGAGGAGACTCTATGGTAGGAGAATTGAACATCCTGTCGGTAAAAGGAAGCTATGCTAGGAGGAGACTCTATGGTAGGAGAACTGGACTTCCGGTCGGTAAAAGGAAGCTGTGCTAGGAGGAGACTCTATGGTGGGGGAACAGGACTTCCAGTCGGCTCCAGAATTGAATGGGGGGCTTCTGGTTATGACTTTTGTGGTTCTCTCTTCTGTGGGAAATGGGTCCAAATGGCTCTTTGAATATTTAAGGTTGCCAACCCCTGCCTTAGCTATTAGCTAAAGAGCAAATTAACAATGGAGACAAATACAAGATAAAGACAGATCAATCATGGCCTTTGATTGACAGTCAACGCTAAAGGAAATCAATGCCGACGGTTCTTTTGGAAGGACAGATATAATACTGGAGCTCAAATACTTTGCAGGATCCAATCTGGGTCGGTCTCTGGGACTAGAGGTTCAGTCTTCTGAGTTTTTGGACATATGCTAGAGCCCATCCTCAAGGAACTTCTCTCTCACCACAATGTTAGTTTTGGGCTTGTCTATGTGTTGTATTTAAGTGGTGCATGGTTGTGTATGGCTTTTTAATTGTTGATTAAAGCTGGTGGTAAATCAGCACTCCTGTTGACTGACGAGAGGCCCGTTTCACAGGCTTCAATAATTTCCCATGCTGTTTTTGTACCTGCTCGGCCAACAATTTGAGTAGCTGCGAAATTGAATGCATGTCCTTGTTCATTGCAATGAAAGTCAGAAAACTTGGAAGACAAAACCTCTGGTCCCGGAGGCTGACCCACATTGGATCTGGCAACATTATCCTGGGACACATATATTTGCCCTCATTCATCAAATACTTTGGCCCCCTAATGAGACGAGAGGACTCCTTGGAAAAGATCCAATGTTGAGAAAAATGAAAGGCAAAAAGGGAAGGGGATGGCAGAGGATGAGATGGTTAGATGGTGTCCTGGACACAAGGAATGTGAATTTGGGCAAACTCTGGGAGACAGCAGGCCTGGCCAGTGGTGGATTTCCATTTTTTTACTACTGGTTCATTTGTTCCGCTCGCTCATGCGTGTGATGCTTCTGTGCATGCATAGAAGCTTCTGAGCATGGGCAGATGCGTCCGGGGGGGTGGGTGGAGCCCCCCGCCACCCCTACTATTGGTTTACCCAATCTGGGCTGAACCAGGAGCAACCCACCTCTGGGCTTGGCATGCTGTGGTCCACGAGGCTGCAAAGAGTAACGTCAAATAGTCACTAAACCAGTGGTGGGTTTCTACTTTTTTTAAAACTACTCGTGCACGCTTGCGTGCGACGTTTCTGCACATGCGCGGAAGTGTCTAGGTGGGTGTGCGGAGCCTCCCGCCACCATCACTACCAGTTCGCCCAATTTGGGCCGATCTGGGAGCAACCCACCTTTGCACGAAACACAGACAGTTGTAAGTCAATAACACTCGTGCCCTTGTGACCTCTAGACTGGACTACTGCAACGTGCTCTACATGGGGCAGCCCTTGAAGAGCATTCGGAGACTTCAGCTTGNAGTCAACCTTGAGCCGGTGAGATTAGAACCGCTGAACTGCAGATAACAGTCAGCTGAAGTGGCCTGCAGTACTGCACCCTAACCACTGAGCCACCAGAACCATAAACGATGGTGGGTTCTGTTCATCATTAAACCATCTTTCCAATTAGCCTCCACATTTCCAGTGTCTTTCTCCCAGCTTGGAACTGAACCAGATGGGGTTTTCTTCCAACATGGTGACAGGTGACCTTCTCCTGATCTTTTTATTATTTGTGGATGACAGCATCTCCTTGAAACAATTCTATGGTGAAAATAACCCTTACACACATTTGGAGCTCAAGTTTATCTCCTTTGTTTCATCTAGCTGACATCTAGGTAATGATAAAGGTTGCCCTTGCATATATGTGCTAGTCATTCCCGACTCCAGAGGATGGCGCTCATCTAATATTCTATTTTATTCTATTTTACCTGGAAAGGTTTACGTAATAGGCATAACCAGAGGTCAATTAAACATTAGTAGCAGGCAGTTCTCCTTTGCAATTACCGATTCTTAATTTTGAATGTTGCATGAGCCCACGGATAACTAGTGTTTTTGTGTGCACTTATGCACTTTTTAAAAACATAGCATCACCATGTTGACACACCCACGATATAATAGATGGCAAAAAATTTGAGGGAGAGAAGAAAGTCGGTTCCGGTCTATGGGCGTCCTGGGCGTGGCTTGGAGCGACCGGCTCCGCCTTCCCACATTCAACCCGCATCTTGGGCGAGGACCTGTGGTGCCGGCTCCGATCTGCCCCTTTTTTGAAGGCGGAGAGTTGCTGGTTGCTTCCTTTTCGGCAGATTGTAAGGCGACCAGGTGCGTAGGTGCCGGCATCCGCGCGGTAACCGCCCGGCCGTCCAGCAGAGGAGATCACCTGGGTTGTCATGGGCCACGCCGCCTCGTCCGAGTTGCCTGACGGGTAAGGCGCTGCCGCGAGGCCCGGTGAGCGTGTCGCTGCCTCCGGTGCCGACCTCTTGAGATTCCTCCTTCTGCGTCCGGCCACCTCGCCGCCGCGACGCTGGACCTCTGCTCCTTTTTTTGTGTGTGCTGCCGCCGATTTCATCCGTCGCTTGCGGGGAGAAAAGGGGGCGGGTGGAGAGGAGATGAAGGAGTCGAGGCGAACTGAGCTCTTCCCTGAATTAAATTCCAAACAGGTTTCCGAATGTATAAAATGAAACGTTATGGGAAAAGAGCCGGCGAGCGCGACGCGCTTTAAGAAGCGCCGGTAAATAAAAGGAGATGGGAACGGAACGCGCCCCTGGCGCTCAGCTCCGCGCGGCGCTCCAAGAGGCCTTTGCCTTGGGGACTTTGCTTACTACTCCAGTTAAAATCTCATCCTGATTCCAGGCTAGGATAAACGGGAGGCGTTCTTGTGTATCCTTATATTAGCCTAGTAGTGAAATGGGCCGAGTGGTGAAAGCTGAGCCAAGGCCATCCAGTGAACTTTCTAAGAGGTTTCCAACTCCATTATCTCTGGACTAAGTGGACTGTTGTAACTATCATTTGAAGTACATAAAATGCCCCAAAAGTGCCTTTTTAACAGAGTTGCCCTTGGCAGAACCTGGTAGACTTTGACATGACCAGAACTGGTTATAGTTTGGGACAGAATCCAGCTCATCCGATTAGCTTACAAATCGGCATATTTGTTGCATAAATGGAGCATTTCAGTTGCCTGGTTATGTGTGTCATTTAAACTTAGGCAATAGATCTCACTAAAAATCCAACTATTTTACTGCTGCGCTCAAACACATCCTCCAAGAACTGCTGATGGAAAATAGAACAGCCTCAAATTTAGCAACTGTTGGTCCTCCAGCATAGGGTTTCCACAACTTTACGATGTATGGATTTCAATTCCAAAGAGTTCACCAGCCAGCATGATTGAAATCCATGTATCTTAAAAGTAGGCAAGATTGAGGAAAAACTGATCCAGTAGTTCCACGAGTTGACATGAGTTTTGGGGAACAGAAAATTTGAAAAAGCAGAACTTTTTCTTCCAGTCTTAATTCATTTTAATCACCATTATATATTATTCAAATGTGTGTAGATTAATGTACGTTTTATTTCTCCTTCCATTTGAGTTTATTTAAGAAATTTACTCAACTGTGACTTGTTCAACAATGTATGTTAAAACAAACTATGGTTTAACATGATATTTGATATACTAATTTCTAATATATCTTGGATATGCTTGTAGGACTCCAAAATTTAGCTTTCCTTAACGTACGGTAAGAGCCGAGGTGGCGCAGTGGTTAAATGCAGCACTGCAGATTACTTCAGCTGACTGCAGTTCAGCAGTTTGGCTGTTCAAATCCCACTAGGCTCAAGGATGACTCAGCGTTCCATCATTCAGACGTGGGTAAAATGAGGACCCAGATTGTTGTTGGGGGCAATATGCTGACTCTGTAAACCGCTTAGAGAGGGCTGAAGGCCCTATGAAGCGATATATAAGTCTAACTATTGCTAAGTCTAACTATTGCTATTGTACTGCACTCAACTCCCATAATATCCTGCCAGCACTCAGTTGAAGTTTTAGTTTAATGTAATTGGAGGAGACTGAAGATTTAGAAACTGTCCTGTTTTAATCCACAGCCACCTTATCATATTTACCAGGTTTGGGGACTTCATATGTTTATTTGGAATAGAAAATTTGCAGAATGCAAGTTGGGCAGATTTGAAAATATGGAAGGCATGTCCAATGATAGACTTTTAACACTTTAGATAGACTGGGCAGATGTACCCAAATGTGCTGAGATGAGAGTTCTGATAATGCGGGCACTGTCATCAAATATGACACAAGCGTTTAAAGCTGCTTTGAACAATTAAGAAAATAATAATCTTTCAGAGTATTTTGGCAAGCCAAAGATGCTCAAAACAATGATTATAACAGGGTTAGGGTGGCTGGATGAAAACAGAAGTGTATCGGTATGTAAATTTTTCAGTTGAAGCAACCAAGCCTGGCAACCAGACAAAGGACTGGCCTCCTTTCCCTGCTGGAGTGCCATCTGTTCCTCCTCCACTGGCTTGGCTCACAAATCGGTCCTTTCTGAGTCTGTCTGTGGGATCCGAGTTCTTTAGGGATGTTGAACCTGATCAGATAAATCTCTTCATCTCCGTGGGAGTGCTGGCTTGCATCTTTCCTCCAGGCAAAAACCTGATTCTCTTATGTCATACCAAGTGAGGGAGCCTAAGATCCTTAGAGTTGCCATTTTATAGAGAAATTCTCCTTCTGTTTATCATTGCATTCAGTTTGACTCTTTTCATCAGATTGTGTAAGGATTAGATCGGTGGTTCTTAAACTGCTTGACCCAATTACCCCTTTTCTTGGGCCCAATGTCATTATGTCCCCCGCTGCCACACCCAGGCTCTACCTACTGTTTTACACCATGTCCCTAATAGGACTCAATTGCAAATTGCTCCTTTACCCAGATTATTGGAAGCAATATACTAACTCTGTAAACTGCTTAGAGAGGGCTGTAAAGCACTGTGAAGTGGTATATAAGTGTTATTCCTATTACCTGCATGATAAACCCAAACTAACCCCAGTTTAAGAACCACTAAATTAGAGTGTGAAGTTAGCCCTAGGCCCAGGAGTGTCCATGGGGTCAATTGAATCAATAAGACCCCCTTTTCACCTATGCAATGGTTGGGGGGGTTCAACTGTCCAGTTGTGCCAGCTGTTTTAACATGGTTGACACATTCCCCCCATCCCAATTGTGTATGTTCCTGCCTAAGGTCTAATCCACATTCCATTAGTAACCTAGGGCCCTTGAGACTGTGCAAAATACATAAACATTCTTTTATTGGATTCCTTTTTCCCCCTGACCTTTTCTCCATTTCTATTTCCTTAGTCTGGTTACAAGATCCCAGAAGATTGGAAAAATAGAGTTGCCAATCTTGACTTATTCTTTTGAGTAGGATATGGTATGAAGCATAAATATTTAGAACCTACATTGTTACATATTGTAACAAACATGTTGTGCAGTAAGATGGAATAGATCTTGTACAATATGGCACACACCAGATATATGAGAACAACTGTCATCATCTCCAGCCAGACCAATTAAAGCCTCTGCTGGTTAGGAGGTGTGTGTGTGTGTAATAGGAATTGTAGTCCTAGAAGATTGGCATTCAGACAAATCAGCCAAAGAAAACAGTAGTAAACCAATTTTACACACCAGTGAAAAGACAATGAAGAAGCTAGGAAGGAGACCAAAAGACCAAACATATTCTCTTCAGCAGCCAACATCCAGATAAGAAGGGATTGTAGTTTGTAGTTTGTAGTTTTATTAGAATTTGTAGGCCGCCCTTTTCCCTGAGGGGACTCAGGGCGGCTCACATAAAACT